CGAAGATCCTTCTGGGAATCGGGGCGTCCGCCCATGCTGCTATGGCCCTTGACCCTGTCTGGGTCAGCCCGAAACGCCCCACGTTGCTTACGAAGCAACCGAGAACTTGAATCTCTGTGAACGCGAAAACGCACTTGTCGAAGGTGGGCGTAGAGCTTGTTTCGCTCGCATCACGTCCCAACACTGGACGGAAGGTGTCCCTAGATGCAACTCCCATGGCCGTCTTGCCTCCCTCGGCACGGCTATGGACGAAAATGTCGTCGAAGTACGTCTGTACGAAGGTACGCAAAGGGCGGAACAATTGCGTCACCAGGCGATTGAACGTCGCCGGGGCGTTAGACAAGCCCTGCGGCATGACGAGCCACTCCCAAAGCATGCCGCTTGGAGTGCTTACCGCGGTGAGCGGGATGTCACTCTCTCGCATCAGGATTTGGTAGTATCCGTCTACCAAATCCAGCGCACTAGTACAGTACGCTCCCGGCCATGTTGTTCAACAACACATCCTTTCGTGGGGATCGGTGTTTGGGCCGGCACCGTTGCGTTGTTCAGCTTGTTATAAGCGTGAACCAGACGCCACTTTCCGTTCGGCTTACGAACGCAGAAAGTCGGCGTCGAGTGCGGGGATTTCGACTCCCGCACCATGCCTGCCTTCGCTTTCGCGGCGAAGAAGGCATCAATGACCTCGCACTGTTCGCGCGGGAGAGGCCATTGCCTCGTGACACAATACTTTGTGCCGGGCACGAGATCAATCTCGTGCCGTACGCCTCGATCCGGTGGGAGCTGGGTCGGTGGGTGTTTATTCACCACGTCCGCATACTCCGTCACCAAAGGATACACCGGATCCTTGGGGTTCTTGAGAATCTCAGAACCCAAGCGCGCCTGACGCTGCTTGTTCATGTCTTCCAGGACGTTCTCGTCCAAGACAGAGGAGGAGTTCAGCTCCTCCTGAGTGGTCTCAGGTCTCATGAGTACCATCTCAGCGATCTCTCCAGCCTTGAGGTTGGCCAGGAAAGACTCAGCCGTCATTTCCTCCAGGTTCAGTATCTCTGCAACCTCTGGCAACGGTTCCAAGTGGACACCAGATGCCTTGACGGGTAAACCCGTCTCGCTATCGAAGATGTGATAACACTCTTCCACCGGCCTTGTCGGAGGAGCCCGGGCCCTGGACTCCGAGTCGCTTGAAGCGACGTCGATCGGAACGAAGTTCGGATCCGACTTGAGGCGGCGGCGGCGTCTTTGCCGACGGCTTCTGTGACGGGGAGCTTTGCTGCCCACGTCTAGGGATGTCGTCGCTACGACATCCGAGGCACTCGTGGCCTCGTGTGGTACTGTTGTACCCACACAGGAAGCGTGTTCAACGCCTTCCTCTTCAGTTAAGGTCTGGGCGACCGCGTGTGGCACTGTGTTACCCACACAGGAAGCGTATCCGACGTCTTCCTCTTCAGTTATGGTCTGGGCGACCGTGAGTGGAACTCTGTTACCCACTCTGAACACGCTGTTCTCAGTGTTCATGACAGCTGCAGCTGTCTGCGGAACTAAGTTACCCGCCTGTGGACCTAAGTTACCCACTTGGCCGGCGCCTCTTCTGGGCGCGGCCACCATCAAAACATCCTCGGAGTCGTCATATACGTCGACGACTCCCAAGCATCTGCCGGATGCTTTGGTACCCTGGCAGGCTCGCGGGCGCCCCGGGTCCTGACAGAGGTGGGAACATGACTCACCATATAGCGCTGTCGGACTGCCGCAGGGCGGCTGGCACCGATTGCGAAGCCTCGCCAGTCGATCCAGGGCTCGTGCTTCTCAAGCCAGGGCATGCCCAGGATCATATCATATGGATCCATATCGAGAACAGTGAACTGTTCGAGGCTATCAAAGTCTTCAAACTTGACAGCCAGATCCACTTGGACGTTGGGGACAGTGACGACCTTCCCGTCGGCCAGTCGCACTGACACCGTCCCGTTGCCCTTGCTTTCTCGCAAAGCTTCGGACAACTTGTTGCTGTTACGAGCAACCGTCTGGCGGCGTGCGAAATTCTTCGACGCCCCAGAGTCAATCAAGATTCTAAAGGGGTGATCGTACCCCCGTACACATCCGTGTACTACGAGCAACCCGCCGCTGCTCTTCGCCGATTCGAGAGTGCGAAGACTCTCAGGGGCTAAGTCCCCGTGGTACGCGCCACCCGCGCACCCATCACGAAGACTTAGTTCTTCCCCAGTAGGGCGCCCCGCCCCTACTGGTTCCCTGCGTTCCCCTGTCCCCGGGATCCTGGCTTCTGCCAGCGACCCTTGAGGACGGGCTTGGGGAAGGACCGTCTGCGGAGTCTTTCCGCGGGACAGTCGCGCTTGAAGTGGCCCATCTTCCCACAGCCGAAGCAGCGGATGTCACGCTGTTCGGCGGACCCGAGTTCCATGGGATCTGAACCGTTGGGGCTTGTTCGACCGGGAGCCGACAAGGAACTCCCAGGCCACGCTGAGGCCGGCGTACGCGCCTGGCGATGGCTGTATTCTTCTTGAAGAGCCACTTGAATCGCCTCTTCAAGGGTGCTTGCCTGCACCCGGAACAGCTGAGTGCGTGCGGGGCCCACTCGAAGGCCGTCCATAAACACAGTCATCTTGATGTGTTCATTGAGTGGGTTTCCCACTAGGGACGCCGTGAGCTCCCGTATCTCTTGCACATACTCGTGCAGTTCTGCGTCTTCCTTGTTTACACGCGAGGAAGCGCGAACGCTGACCGGTACTCGTAGTTCGCCGGGAGGATCGCGGCTCGGAGCTGTTCGCACAGCTGAGCCCAGGGATGTGAAACATCCCAGGGGATGTCGCTTCCCGAGTGTACACCCAACTCTTAGCACGACCGCTAAGGTTGGAGAGTGCAAAAGCAACACGCAGTTGCTCGGTCGAGATCAGAGCCGCGTCCATCGCGAGCTCTACTTCTCGGACCCAGAAGTGAAGGTTCTCGCCTTCCTTCCCTTCATACGGCTTTACCTTCAGCCGTATTGGCTTCGGGTGAGGCGGGTTTGCTTCCGCCGCCGGAGCCTGCAGGTTCTCCCGCACATGCGCGATGAGGCCCTGCTCGTACGCGTCGAATGCATTGACGCGCTCGAGCTGCTCAGCCGGTGTTGATACCACCAGGCTCTGCAGGGCCTCCATCCCGAAGATGCCTGCCATCTTCCGAACCGACTCGAACTGAGAGTCGTTCATATGGGAGAAGTCGTTCCTATCCATGGCAACGAACTTCGGAGGTTCAGGTAGTCTACCCGCGATGGCGTGGATTGACTACAAGTGCTACCAAGTGTGACGGGGTCACACAGCACCTTGCGCTAGAGGAAGTTATCTTCCGAGAGTATACAAACTCTCAGTGAACGGCAGTTCACAGGTCCCCTCTTTAATTAAAGAGAGCGAAGTGACCTAAATAAGGTAGATTGTAAACTGAGTATATTTATAGGTAGGTTAAGTTTGTGGTTAATACAAACTATCAGTTACCTATAGAAATGCAATGTCATTTAACCAATGGTTGGTTTTGAATGACCTTGGTACCTTGTACCAAATATCCCGGAGTATGACATGTCATACTCCTGAAGTGTGAAGTGTCACACTTCATGTAACCAGGGTACACTTAGTGCTACGTACCCCGTTACAAATTCAGCACTTCTATCAGGTAGATGGCCAGGTGATGCTTCGAGTTCCACCACGAGATCGCCGCAAAACGGAGGAGGTCGCAAAAGGACCATTTCTCATCAAGCAAGTCTACGACAATGGCACGGTGCTTCTCGACAAGGGCGCGTCCGAGGAGCGCCTGAGCATCCGACGCATTTTCCCATGCTAAAGTATGCTTCACCATGCGGGAGAATGACAATGTGTAGCAGACAGGTCAGCCATCTCACCCATTCTCACCCTGTTGCGCCTGGGTTCAACGGATAGATCGGCTCGCCAACTTCACCAAGTTCAAGGCGTCTTAAGGGAGCGCATCCATGGGTTACATGTCTAAGGTAGCTAGCAGGAGGAAGCAGTGCAGTGCTAGGAGCTATCTCTCAATTTCATTCAGTTCTCATTTTACTCACAAAAGCTCAAGCAGCGGGGATTGTCAGACTGCAAGTGGCGCACGGTGACTCGCCACTTCGTCTTTGCTGTGCCGTGCGAGGTGGTAAGGCGCGTGTTGGGTGCTCGTAAATGACCCGCGCATATACGAATAACACGTCTAACACGTCGTTCGTGGCTACCTACGCAAAAGACCACCCATGTTTTTGTCTAGAGGAACTGTGAGCAATGCGAAGAGGTGATTTCCGAACACTGGCGAGGGTTTTCATCGACGTGCGTACAACGCCTGCACCGCTTAGAATTCGAATTATCCAGACAGGGGTAAAATACCGTGCAAGGGAGGTGCTTCCAATAGATATTGACACATATCTGGCCAAGCTACGGTGCTTCTACAGCTAGCTACCCAGAGTAGTTAATCGTCTTGGACGAGATGTCTGAAAACGGGCTAGATGCGATGAGACGCTACGCTTGGTCTACTCGAGGGTGATAAGGGAGCCGTTTAAGAAAGACAAGCGATTTAAGCGATCGAAAGAGCAATAGGTTAAGAACTAAAACAATGTTTGTACCTATTTATAAGTCGTTGGTGCGCTAATCGCTTACATGGTCGACATCTTCAACGTCCTCGTCGGGCTCTGGTGAAGACATAAGCGACTCGACGAGACCCTTCTGAGGTAGCAAACTCGGCCAACCAGTTTGTATTTGCTTTATTAAAGGTGAGGTGAAGAGCGGCATGTAAACAAAACACTGCACTGTACTGCTTTCGGAGAGCGACGTCGTGTCATCTCAATTGACATTTCATTTGGCAAGCCTGGCCACCTGGGTACCCCTATGGACTGCGCATGTCCTTCTGCTCGGTAAGACCATGAAGCTAAGCCCGAAGAGCCCAAAGTGGAGCAACCACGACTGCTTCGTACGTGTATTAGCGTATAGGACCACGCTTGCGTTCTGCCGTACAGAATGCAGCACCTGACGACTAAAAGGCTCAAGAAGTTTCGCCAGTTCGGCTTCCAGGCCGGCCATCCGGAGAACTTCTGTACGCCTGTCGTTGAGGTACGCTTGGCCAGGGTATTTCCAGTGCTGCCGTCTGACCATTGCTAAGAAGCACCTGGTCGCCAAGTTCAACAAGGACAGCCTCGACATTGTAGACCCTACACGTATGGCATCTCCGGTGTCGACTGCCTGCAGGAGGAATATTTCTCAGACACGAACTCGTGTATTTGACATGCGTCGCTCTGTTATAGCGTTTAATGCGTGTAGATACTTTCTGTAGATACACAGATGAATAGGCGATTAGAAAGTTACGAATAACAACCGCAATAGCTCGCCCACCACCGCAGTGACCCGAAATTGGGCGATGACAGCCGCTAAGAATACAAGCTGTGAAGAATCTGGGAAGACTTTGTTGGATTGATTGAAACTGACATCTCTCTCAAATCATAATACCCTTTCAAAATGAACTAACAAAATAAAGATGCATTAACTTATCAAGCATAAAGTATAGCAAAAAGCTTTTGTTTTGTTAGATTGATTCGATAAAAGTATCGAAGCACAGCAAAGTGGATTTTAATTAATATAGTAAGCGATTGCACTACCACCTCAGCTCTCTAATTCGGGTCCGTGCGTAGTATTTTACACAGAATTTCATGTATTTCAAAATTCAAGTTTATTTACTTAAATTTCGCAAAACGGTATGGAGTTTAGCAAGGCATCGATATGTGGAAGTAGAACTATGAGTATTGTGTTAGCTTAAAAATAAGGTTATGAGCTGTACCTATCTGATCGTATGGCCCCGCGTTGGTTTCCCGATACAGTAATGAAATGACTAGTAAAAGAAGCTACCGGTACTTAAAGCTAGCACTGCTTTTAAAAAGAGCAAGATCTTCTTAAGAGCATTAGATTGCAACGTATCGGTAAAACGACATTTGACTAGTGCTACACAAAATCGATGGATATACTCAATCCAGCACATTTTGTCCTTAAAAAAGGACGAGATAAGATGCAAGATCGTCAAATTCCGAGTGATTTTGTCCTTAAGACCTCGATTATAAGTACAAAATTCGAGCGTAGCGAGCGCTATTGCCTCTGTCTGATATGCCAGTTGAGCCACCCAACGCCACTTTGTATGGAATTATAATTACTAGCCTGTCGCCGCCGCAAGGTGCCGTATTGGGCCGCCTCGCAGCTTGTAAATTTTTAGCCAATGGGAGCCACCTTCTCTCCGCTTGGCGGCCAATGCGAATGCTCAAAGCTCTGAGCGTTTCATGTGACGAACGAACGGACATCGTGCTAGCCGTGATACTTAGCAATACTTTATTGCAACATCGAATTTAACGACTTTTGTCCTTGACTTAAGGTCAAAACACTCCCCGGGAAGTCATTCCCGACACCTTACGGCACAGCCGCTCGTGCAATAACGCGTAGGCTTAACGAAGAGCTGCTAGTTTGATTGTAGAGAGCTAATATAGTGGTACATTTCTATAAACATTTACAGAAACGTCTACCTAAACTGAGGCCAAGTAAAGGTCATCAACGTTTGGTTCTCTTTTTTGTCCTTAATTTTTTCTTGTTTGGGCTAACGTATGTTTTGCTATCGTAGTTTTGGAGGTAAGACATCCGCCCAATTTGGAGCCGTGGCAGCAGAAAGCTCTCTTAAAAGGTGGGTGGCTACCGCGGCTAACTTAACGCTAAACTGAAATCTCAGACGATTATTATAGACAGCTTTAGAGGAAGATTTCCCATCTTGCAAAGGATGACTAATCGAAAATTTGGAAGAATTGGAGAATAGATTATTAAAGTTTGCCGAAAAGTCCGAATGAAAGAGCGCCTGATATTATCCTTCCAAAAACGTTACTTTTCGGCGATTCCAGCCCCAAACCATAAACTTCTGATGAAGAAGCGAACACAATCATCTGCTCTCCATGAAGTAATCATTGCGGGACACGCCTTGTCAGAAGTATTACCGGGTATTCTGAGTAAAGAGCTTTACCATTGGTATAGTGCAACTAATTCCAATTACATTTAGTCGTCAAAATAAACGTTTTTGCACGTTTAGCGAGCAGTAAATTCTACAGCTGACCGATTAATGTCGCGAGAACTTCTAGTACAAGCACATGGGATAGAAAAGATGATGAGGATCATCCAACAAGGTGTGGCGAGCACCGCTGGAGAAGCAGAACGACCAAGTGCAGTACAAGCAGCTGGAAGATATATACAACAATTACAAACAGTTGCAGTTGAAGGCAAGGTTGAAGTTGTACGTGTTGCATGTGAACGAGTAGAAGTTACCGAGTACTAGACCAAGGAGACGCCTAGAGTGCAAGACCAATAAGAACGCAGAAGTACGAGGGTAGCTAAACTCAATCAGATCTCAATTTACCTAACTTATACTGATTGCAACGTTTGAGGCATCTGGCCAAGTTCTTCAGTTACAAACCTCTCAAAAGTGCTACCATATACACAAGCGTGACGACGCTTTGCGACATAGTAGAAATTGCAAGTTCCAACGACAACGATGGAGACACGACGCCAAGCAGCGAACCGACGCCTCACATTGGCTAACGGTGAGCATGACGTTGTAAACGACCGTGTCCAGCGAGTTGAAGAGACACTGAGCGAGATGGACGAGAGAATGGCCCAAGTCAACCATCGGCTTGACCGCGTCCTGGAAGGCATCGATGCACTCGTGCAGACCGTTGCTGCGACTCAGCATGCTACTCAAGCTAACGCTGAAGCTGCTAATCAGTTTCAAGAGGCTACAGCGCAAACAGCGGCAGCGGTAACTGAACTGAGCGCCCACATTGGAGCTATGGGGCATGTTGAGGAGCTGGCTCAGCAGACAGCTGCAGCCGTGGCCCATATCCAACAACAGCCAACTGGCACCCCGAGTCATCAATACTCTTCCACAAGTTGGTGAGCAAGACATTGAGATGGAGGCGCCAGCAGAGAGAAAACTGCGCAGAATGGAAGACGAAGCCACCTGTGTTTGAAGGGGATATCGACGGTGTCAAGCTCGATAGTTTCATATTCCAGTTTGAGGCGTATTTTACCTTCAAGGGTTACGACCTTGCTGAGGATGACGTCGTGGTGGCCCGAGAACTCAGCCAGTGTGTGAAGAAGAATGCAGCAACGTGGTATGCAACGTACATGAGGAACCCAGAGACCATGAAAACTTGGAGTGCGATGAAGTTCTCGCTCGAGAAGATCTTTAAAGAGCCCAACTTCCTGCAGAAACTGAGGAACGAGCTACTGAATTTCAGACAGAGCGGCACTTACCAAGGCTATGTGGCCAAGTTTCAGGAGAAACTACGACTGGTGCCAATGGACCCTGCTTTTGCAAAAGAACTTTTCCTCAAGGGTCTAAGCAACAACAACCTTCGCAAGCAAATCCTGCGGAAGAAGCCCATGACACTGGAAGATGTGATTAGCGAAGGCTTCAATGAGGTTGAGCTGGAGCGTATGGACGAAACCAAGTCATCAACGCCAAACCAAGGGACCAAGACTCATGGGAAGTCCAAATCCAGCTTTAGTGCACCGCAGCACAAAATTACAAAAACCAGCAGTAATATGCGAGGTGATGGAAGAAAGAAGACGAAATGCTCTCATTGCCAGCGTGGATACCACAATGAAGATGACTGCTGGGTTAAAAATCCTGATAAACGGCCCAACTTCCAGAACAAGTTTGGCAAGGCTGCGAACTCTGCCAAGACTGACTACAAAGCCAAATACTACGCTCTTATCGACAAGCTCGTTGTAGACGACGAGGACACGTCCACGTCGCCTTTAAACGAGTAAAGCCGTTTGATG